AATCTTTCAGAAACAGAACACGCCAAACATTTAAAGAAAAAGTTCTCAATAATTTTTGCAATTGATAACTTCCGATTTCGGGATCGCACACTCTTACAGATGTGGTTATTATTGTAAAATTATTATTTTTTGTCTTTAATTCATTACAAATTGAAGTGAAGTCAACATTCCAATAAATAAATGTGATTTTATAAAGTACGGAACTGAGTTATAGAATATTCCTCTTCTTTATATTTAAAATAGTATATATTTCTGTATCTACGTAATTCGAAAAGCAACAGTAAAGAATCACCCGAAATAATTGAAATAGTATCATTTGTGTCTATTATTAATAAATTTTTTATCGTTTTCTTGGTAAGTATTTCTTAATTTTGAATGACAAATTTCAACTGGAATCCTAAAATAATAAATAAATAAATATTTATAAAACAGTTTCTACCAAAATATCTAAATCTCTTTAATTTTTAGAAGCTTGAAATCGACGTCCCGCGTGGGTCAGCCAACAGTCCGTCTACAACTGAGGGTATTTTGCGTCAGCACTGCGGTCGGTACGAGCTGGGTGTGGAAGTCGTTTTGAAAAGCCACCGCTGGGATTCGAACTCTGTCCACGATATCGGAAGACGATAGCTTTATCCCCTTAGCCACCGTCTCAAATACCGATTTAGTGAAAATAAGCATTTATGATATTATTTTATATTCATTTTTAGAAAATAAAGCAATGCTGCATAAAATACACCTCCTTTTCAGCCATGCAATAAGCCATGCTGCTGAATCGGCACTTTCTGCATAGTTTCAATATTTTTATCAAAATACGATAGAAATTTTGTAAACTCTTTCCAAGCACGTGTTTTATAACCCAGAAATTTCGAAAGTTCAAAAAAATATATACATATATTTTTGTTATAGGAAAGCGAAATAGAAAAAAACAGACTGCTGAAATTCCTGAAAATAAGCTATTAAAATATCATATTAATCAAAATAATTACATGGAAGCTTAAGTTGCGGCTGTGAATTTGAATATGAATTTAAATAGTAGATACAACTATGATCATTTAAGCACTTTAAACCATTTAAAAATATAAATACCATTCTTAAATTAAAATTTCAGAATATTCTGCAATCACTATTTTTTTAAATTCTAAAGAAATGTAAAGAAATATATATTGCAAATTTTTTTTGAAATTGTTCATAAATTATCGGTAAAACCCAAAGCATATTAATTGCAATGTAGAAAATAATTAATTTATCACTCTAAAACTTTGTTTAAATTTTTTCATTCCCTCGTCTCATTTTTATCATGATTTTAAACAAGCAATATTCATATTTTAAAAAAATGAATTCATGAATGAATGCTTGGAAATTTATTTCGATTTAAAATTTATCTTTAGAAAACTTGCATCCTGAACATTAGCTTTGTTTACGTTGATTACATTTTCAATTATATTTTATCTTCCAATTAATTTTAGGTAAATCAAAAAATTCTAACCATTTTTAATAATTTTTATTCAATTGAATGGAATATTAGATCAAATTTGTATCTAAAGGAATTTAAGTTAAACAAAAAAAATAAACTTAATTTAATATAGAAAAAAATATGGTAATAAATATATAAAAACTATCCTAGATTTAGTATTATACTACACTAATACAACATTATCAGTTTTTATAATNTAGTATTATACTACACTAATACAACATTATCAGTTTTTATAATTGAGAAATTATGCCGAAAAATTATTCTGTTATGGATCATTCGTTACTGGAATGCTGATATGACACAATCAGTCACTAGAAGTGAATTTTAACTGTTGCTAATTCACTTTAAGGTTGAGTTTAACTGTTGCTAATTCACTTCAAAGTTGAGTTTAACTGTTGCTAATTTACTTCAAGGTTAAGCTTATGTTTAACATTGATTTCAATGAGCGTAATTTTCTACGTAAAATAGTATTTTAAGAATTCCGAATGATTTTAAGTGAAAAAATAACCGTTTTTATCTCATACTTTTTAAACAGTTTCCGAATACTTGCACTGTCAAAAGGAATTGTGTCAGCATTAAAGAAATATTTCTTTATCTCCTTGGATTGAAGTCATTTTCCTTATTTTATTTTCTTAGGTAGCGTAAGTATAGTAAACATACTTCAATTTTTTAAATCACTAAAAGAAATATTAAATCGATTATTTATCACTTTAAGTTTTTTTGCTACATACTGATGAACGAGATTCAAAATTGATTATTTTGATTAGATTTAATTATGGTTGCTGGTTAAAAGCTTTAGAATTTTTCTATCTGGAATTAGTTATTCAAATAAGTTATGAATTGAAACATTCAGAAATCAAGATGCAAAATATTGAAAAGCATCTAAAAGCAATTAATAAAGTATCCGTAAGTAATAAGCAATTAATTTATATGTATTCCAGTTCATCTGTTTGCATCTGTTAAACCTAATATTTTAAGAAGGTAAAAAATCCTATTGCCAAAAGTACATTTATTGTTTAAATTTTCAAAAATGTTAAAGTCTGTGTTTACCCTTAGTTTCCAATAATAAAGAATAATCCTAAACTCGGAGTTTTGCAATAGAAGTAAAGCATCAATATAATTTATTTATGGTTATATTGTTGTATTGGTATTTGTAAAAACTTTTATTTTACATTTGGATAGTTGTTTTTCGAATTCGACCACTATGACCAATTCATAGGTTAATTGAAACAAAGTATACAGACACATTTCTCAATTTGATTTCTAATATTTTTGGAGCAAACATGAGCAGCTAAATTTTTTTTATATGTATTGAAGTTTCTTTAAGAGTTCCATAAAATTTTAAAACTACCTTGTGCGACCAAACTTTGTAAATTCTTCAATGCTTCTAAAAAAATCAGAACGTGAAATTTATGTTTCAAAAACGTCTCTAAGTGCAATTGAAAGGAAATTTTTATTTATTCTCCTTACACATTTGTATTTGTTAAACGCAATTTTTATAAGATAAAAAAATGCGTCAAAAGTTTATTTTTTGTCAAAATTTCCAACGACATTAACATCCATTTCTTCCTTCAATCATCATTTTAAAAAATATAAGTTCAGCAAATTACTAAAGTAGGAAAATAACAAACAATATTATTTGTGATGACATTATTTTATGAACATTAAAAAGTAGTTATGATCAGGGAAAAAAAATTTCAGCAACAAAACCATTCAAAAAAATTTGTTACCTAAAATTATCAGGCAATTTTAAAAATGATTTTTAAGAATGCAATCACATTCAAAGATATTATGAAATGAGAGAACTAGCGAATTGAAAGGGCTTCACTTTTATCGTTCAAGTTATCGTAACAGCATTCCAGTAACCTTTAGCGATCATATGCCATTAACTATTAAGTTACATTTTAAATGAATAGTTACAATTTTTGAAGAAAAAATGAGTTGGTTATGTAAACATATAGGTTAAAAAAAAACTGCCGAAACACAAAAGCTTACCCAATCCAAAAATTGCAACGAAGAGGACAAGAATCTGGAATAAAGCTGTCATGCGCATCTTCACACTTTTAATTGATCTAGTTACACTTGACACTTACTCTCGATGTAATCTAGAGTGAGTATGTGCCTCCTTTTATAAAGAGCCGTTAGCAGCTCAGCTGTTTTTTTTTTCTTTTCATAATTTTAAAGACATAAAATTTTTATTGCAAAAACAATTTAACTACTATTAACACATTCCAAGGCGATACATTTCCTTTATTTATTTCAACTCATTTTATCCAATAATATAAGTTCTAAAAAGCACTAATACCTTGATATTTTTTGGGGGTGGTGGAGTCAAATGCATAAAGTCAAAATAAGTCAATATAAAAAAACATATTTCTAGCATTTAAAAAACTGCCTCTGTTATTGTTGGTGTATAACATTGTAGAAATATTTTACGAATAGTATGATAAAATCGAAAAACTTTTAAAAATTTCATACACTGTAATTAAACTTGGAAAGTTCATCAATAGGGATGATTTTCAGACCATATAAAAGGTTATTTAATTGGTTTTTGGTTCTAGATCTACATGTATGATAGCCATCAATCTTGGACTGACAGACCTATAGAGATTTTAAAAAAAGTACATTAAAGTTTAAATAACTTTTGAAAAAATTTGCGAATGAAAATGTCTCCAAGCGAACGCGTTTAAAAGTGGTCTCTGAATATGTCATTCACATTTTTTTTCTTTTTCTTCAATTATCCAATTACTTCATGGTTTCACCTTAAAATCATTTTTTTATATACATAATCTATTCCTTTAAAAATTATTTAAACTTGAATACAATTTCAAGAATAAATATTTTATTAATTTAACTGTATACTTGAAAACTATCATAAATTTGCTATAATAAACCTTCAAATTACGAACCATAAAAACCAGACACTATTCTATACATCATTCGAATTTAACACATTGTAGGTTTTTATAATGTTGGTAAATCAACTTTTTTCACGGTTTCAGAATACACTTCATTTATTATTTCATTTTATAATGGATACATTTTAATAAAACATTATCAGCAATTAGTTTCCTAGTGAAGGAAGTGTCAACTCTGTTCTATCAATATGATGTTATCAATAAATATAAGAAAAATATTCGTATGTATGTCTACTACTTTTATAAATCTACGATTCTGAACAAATTTATACCAAATTCAATGCGCATACATCTGATACACATAGTTTTGAACATCCGTTCAATTATTTCACAATCGGTTCACTTGCTTAAATCCAAAGAACGTTTTCCATATGATTAAGAAAACATTTCATAATGTCAGCGATTTTTCCCGTTAATAGATCCTTCCATTAAAAACAAGTTTCTTTGGGCATTTATAGAATGTTTTTATATGTTATATATCTATCTCTGGTTTCTTTGTTAAATTAGTATAAATAAAACCAGTATGGACAATTCGTGTCATAATCGAATGACGTATTATTTTTGAAGGGTCAAGGAAAACATTTGATTTCCTTGTTGATGCTTACTCTTTTGAATTTTCTTTCTACAGGTTTAGGATAAATTACATTTACTCGGGAATGTCTAAATTTTCTATTTCTCGCAAAACTCTCAAACTCGCGAGAATTGAAAGGTGGGCCTCCATCACTTATTACTTCAAGAGTAATGTCATGGCGTGCAAAGATCGATTTTACTGCAGGTATTACCACACAGGCTTGTAAACAACTAATCACTTGCACCTGAATAAATTTTAAATAATAATTAATTACTTCAATGTAATTTCGACCATTAAAATAAAATAATAAATTCCTACTTTTACCCATTGAACATTAAGAAATTCATATAGCATTTCGGATTCAGGACTATTTGCAATTTGAAATTTAACGCATGTAGAAGAAGATTCTACCATAGCTTTAGTAATACCTGGGCAAAAACACAAGTTTGAACCATGCTCCAAGTTTTAGCAATACCAAAGTATCATTCCTGTTTTCTGTTTAAGATTTCTTTTCTCAAACATTCAGGTATAATTAGTAGATCCAATTTGAGTAGGATACCATTAACAAACTGCAACTCGTGTCTATATTGATAATATTTTAATATCAGAAATAGGAAGTGTCTTCTAATCAGGGAAATAAGTTCCTCGGGGATAGGAAATTGGTCCTAAAGTGAAGATGCACTTGGGGACAATGCATCAGTTAAATACATTTCTTTACCAGGTTTATAGACAAACTCTAAGTCATACAGTAAATAGCACTCATGAAGACAGCGTAGACAGCGGTTTTTTCGACACCACTATGTTCTGTGAATGTTTTAAATTTAGTGCCACAAACGAAGTGGAGAAATCTTTTTTTACGTATGTACATAAGACTAAAAGCTCTTTCCCAATGAATGCATAATTACGTTTTGTCTGGGATAATGTTGAAGAAGTATTAGCAACAGGGTTATCATTCTGTTGAAACACTGCTCTCAACCCAAATAATGTTGCATCAACGACAATTTCAGATTTTAACTTGGGGATGAAAAATGTCAACACTGGAGTTTTCGTAATTTTATCTTTCACTCCATATAGGATTTTATCTTAAGATGAGCACCACAATTAAACTGAGTCTTTTTTAAGTTCCTTGAGGTGATATTAAAGTAGACAAACATTGAAGAAATTTGGTTATATGCTTAAATATCGAAGCAAGCTTTTCTTATCCTCGGGTCTACCCAGGTTTATTATTTAATTTAGTTTTACCTTGCCTATACTGATACTTTCTGCAGTTAAAGTATATCCAAAAAAAGTAAAATTAATTTTAAATATTTAAGATTTTTCCCTATTTAGTTTTAGATTGTGCTTGACACAGAGTTTAAAAACTTGTTCCAAATCAATTCCTCTGAAATTTCACCTCAAGCAATTATATTGTTGAAAAAATTATCTTCCTTTTAAACACTCTCTAGCACCTCAGAAACTACTCTTTGAAATCTTTCAGGTGCAGATTTTAACCATTTCTACCCATTCTCAAAAATTTATATCTCTCAAATGAAGACGAAAAAACTCAAACTGGAACTTTCTTCATCTAATGTTATTTGCCAGAAAGCTGAAATTGTATTAAGGAAGCTGAAATATTTTGACCCAAATAATTTAATAGTAATGTCCTCAAATGTCGAGAGATTATATTAAAGAAGCTTTGTTCAAATTTTGAATATCTAAACGCGCTTTTAAATTCCCATTTGCTTATAAACTATCACTAACGTACTAATCCAATCAGTCAGTTCCGTTATCTTTTTAATTACACCAGCTTTAATCATTCTATCTAACTCAGCGTTTAAAGGTTTTAAAAATGAAATAGCAATTTTTCTTGTTACTGAAACTACAGACACAACATTTTCGTTTAATGCTATGTGATATTTATCTAGTAAATTACCTAATCTTTCAAATACTTGATTCTATTTAAAAAAAAAAATAAATTAGAAGCATTGCTATAAATATATAGTTACACAATCATTCAAGCTCAAATCACTGTTATCTTGGTTATTACTCTTCTTTATGAAACCTAATTTATCAGCACTATTATTCAAGCCTAACATTGGCCTATTTCGTAACTAAAAAGTCAAGATGAATGCTAGGAGAATTTAAGCTCTTCTGATTTAGACTTGTAAGACTTAAAAGACTAGAAGAAGAATTAAGACTTGTAAGATTTAAAATGCGTATCCAGCTCTTGAGTCTCACTCTGAGTATTACCACCAGTATTTTTGCTTACTGCAGTTTGAGATTTGAAACTTTTTGGGAAATGATTCCACTTCCCGTATTTTTTGCAATTCTTTCAAAGCTCAGGACAGTTTCTCCCCATATGTTGGAATCCACAGCAAAAACTTGCTGTGTTCGTATGCCGATCCGAAATTTTTCGGTTTAAGCCTTCCTTTTGATTTGTGAACTTAGACAATGCATCTCTGGATTTTTGGCTCTTTGACTATTACTATAGGCTTTACTACTACTTCTCTGCTTTTCTTGACTTGTGTTCTCTCATGCTTTTCACACCCCAGTTCATCCCCAGCGAACACTTGTGCTAGCAATTTTGACTCCTCCGCAGCAAAGCACAAATCAACAGCTTTTGAAAAAGTCTGTCCAGACACTCTGAGCAGACGTTCCTGCAAACTAGGATGATGTAGCTATCGGACAAGCTGATCTATCAACAAAGAACCCGTCAAATTTACGTATTTGAAGTTTCGAAGCTGTTTACGAAGCTCTGTGATAAATTCATCCGTTTGTTTTCCATCTCATTGATCAATCAAAACTAACTTCTGCATTTGTACGTTACATTTTTGCGGAATAAAATATAGTCTTCAAACTTGGCAAGAATAGTGGAGAGGAAATTGTTGGAAAAGTATTGTAGAGTTCTAAACATTCTTTGCTAATCACATATGCAGAAGGATTGCAACTTTCCAGGCTTCGTTCTTATCATTTAATGAAGTCACTTGCATATAAAGTTGAAAATGATGATTTCATATTTTCCACTCTTCAGTCGAATAAGAATTTGTTTTCAAGAGAGGCAGTGGTAGTAGACTTTCAATCTTTTTATTTTGAAACTGACTTTTTACTCTGCTCGATTACTTCTGACACCATGACGTATTATCGTGGCTAGTTTTTACGGAGAAAATCAAGACCTACTTCATTTTACATAGAAACGTTTTTATTCAGACAGATACATTCTGAGTGCCGCTCGACTTCAGTGAGGCAAATCATTTATAGTAGTTGGGGGAGTGATACGAAGATAAAAAAAATCTTTTTACGAACGCAACAATGGTTGATGCACTTTTAGGTTAAATGAGTTAAACTCAACTAAATTAGTGGCTTTTTCAAAAATAAAAGGTACGTGAAAAAGAGGAAGGTAATCAACCTGCCTGATTCTATTGAGGGAGATCTTAGGATTCTGGGAGTGAACCGAAGACAATCTCCTCATTCCAAGTCAGATCGAGGATGCTCATGGAGATATCATTGACTTGTGAGAGGCTGTAGTACTGAAGAAGGAGAAGAAAAAGTAACGCAATAAATAATAATAGCATTAGTATTATTATCATTCATAGCTCTATAAAAATCTGTGCTTTTGTTTCAGTTTATTTGCAACTTCCCATAAAAAGTTTAAAAAAGAGATGCAATAAAAACTTTTAATGATATTTTAAAAATTGTTATCTATCGCAAGAATGAGCTATAAGCTATATTAATGAAATACATTTTAAGGCGTTAAATTAGATAACCTAAAATCACTTTATCCGAGATGGTAAATTGGGGATGCATATTTTTTTTAAATTCGCCTTAACATTTTTATTAATGAATTGAATGCACTCTCTTTGTAGTAAAAAATACTTATCTATCACATTTTTTGAGTGAGTATTTTTCATTTTTCGCATGTATGCTGCGATATGCATAAAAAGTATAATATATTTAAATTTTAAGATTATTATTTTGTACAAAAATTATTACATTCTTTCTATGTATACAAACATTAAAGTGATTGTAAATGAATAAATTATGTTTGAATATTGATCCGGATCTATATATTTCTTTAGTATTTCCAAGTTATGTAATTACTTTTACATTTGCTTAATTTACTTCCAATTTATTATTTCCATACGCCAATGTAATTAATATTGAAAAGTTTTCTTAATTAGAGTCTGTGGGTTGACCAATCCAATATTTGCCTATTCTTTTATTAAAAATTTTATTTGTGAAAGTATATTTTCATTTTTAAATTATATAAAGAGCCTTATTTATAAGAGCAGAAAATATAAAGAGCATTATTTACGCAATAAACTTTTATTATTCCAAAAATCTCTTCGCCTTTTGAAAGTGATGAGCCTAACTTTTTCCCTTCTGGTTTGTTAAAAATCAAATTATATTCGTATTTTTTCATCCACTTGAAGCGCTTCATATTGTTTTCTTATAACTACTCATCATATCCCAGTTTCCATTTTTGATTGTGACCAACTTTTATAGAAATTCAAATTCTTTTTGTACTTATTGAATCTTTTAATTAAATAATTGTGTCATTAAATCCAGAAAATAAAATTTAGGTAAAGAGACAAGGAATTGTAATAACATTTTATTTTCCGCACAACGGTAATGAAAAGTAAAAAGAAATAATAATACTCTTTGGCAGAAAATCTAAAAAGTGCACTGATTGATATGATTTTTCATTATATAATATAGTAACAACATTTTATTTTCTGAATAAAAATAATGAAAAATAAAAAAATAATACACTATACACGAAATTCTAAAAACAACACTCAATAAAAACAACACTCAAAGTGATTTAAAAGATCTCTAGCTTAACTTCATGAAATATATACTTACTAAATCTAGATATTTATATTTAATATAAACTCAAAGTAACGTAATGCATTTTTTTAATCAGTAATGCGTGAATAACTTATATCAAAACGGCATGTATGTTTTCAAATAAATAGACATTAAAATCAGGTATAGTATATAATCATTAAAAAACCAACTTATATTTCTATAAAAATATACATTAACCAATAAAAGTTAATATTTCAGCAATAAGAAAATCTGGACTTAAGGAACATAACAAGACATTGATACATGAAAATCATATACAAAAATAATGACAAATCTCCATAATTAATTATACTGGAAAATGAATAAATAGCAGCAATTTCAGAATTTTCTTTGTTACTATGGTATCAATATTTAGTAATGTTACGATTCATTTTCCTTTTCCCAGCCAAGAGACATGAAACTACACCTAAGTACAGCAAATTGTTTGTGTACAAATTAAGCTCTTTAAATATAAAGATATGACTCATTTTTAGCTTGTTTGCTAAATTTACCCCAAAAAAAAAATTTTTTTAGGGAGATAACCAATATTTTCTCATGAAATTAACAATTTATTCGGCATATAATAACAAAACTAACTTGATGAAAGCGACAAGTAGATCTATCATATTTTTTAAAATCTAATTATTTCACAAAATAATTTATTTTTTAACATTGTATTTGTGTTTGAAAAAAATACTTTGAACAGTTCAGAATAATTTTAAAAGAAAATATGTACCCTAACTTATGAGATTCTACTAGATAAAAATACCTTAACGATTACTCCATGTTAATGGGGTTAATGTCTACGAGAAAAAGTTTCTTTTGTTTTGTTAGGTAAATTTTGGCTTTCTACCAATCAGGAATTATGTTGAAACTCTCGAACGAAGTTAGATGGAAGTAACTCTACCATAACCTAATGCAAAAGCTTTCTAATATCAACTTTTTCGCTCTGTGGCGAATTTTAGTTAAATAAAACATAAGAAAATTCTTAAAAACTATTAAACTCATAATATATATAATTTTTAAAAACAATGTAATTTCATTTCGCCTTCAAAGTATGCTGTCTTTAACTAAGAAACCTTTTTGTAAGAGCTCATTTAAAGAAATATCTCAAGTGATGTATTCAACAAATGCAACTCGAAGTTGCCAGAAAAATTAAATACAGGATTATTCATAATTCCCTCGGCCTGCAAACGCCATTTTTCTTTACTACAACTGGCTTCAGTGGTACATGTTACAGCCATCTACCGGCAACTGCTTAAATTAAAACTTGAATACTTTCGGTATAATTTCATATGTTCTTTTTGGCCATATTCGTCTTCGTTTTTTTACTATAGAAACCCCGGAGGAAATTATGAATAACCTTGTATAACTTTCTTATGCTAACTTTCAGACAATTTTGATAAATACTATTTACTTTTTCATTTTAAGATGCTATAAAATGAATAAACATTGGACCTGTTCCACAACACGAAGCATTTGGAGCCAACTACAAATTTTTTCAACTTTTGAGAAGTTTATTGTTTACAGTTAAAGATGGTTAATTGTTTAATGGATGAATTTTCCAATGATTTAATTCATAATTTTCACGCGACGTCATTATTCTTTATTCAATAATAATTGTTTTACTAATTTAAAATAATTCTGTCAGAAAATTCGAAAAAAAAGTTTATATCCTTAAGAATAATAAAATACATTTCGCAAATTTTACAAACTTAGGGAACATTCCTACTGAATGTGGTTTTATTGTATAACTTTAAAAGTACCAATCAAATTCTCAATTTCTAAATGTGTATTTTATAAAAAATTTCGTTTTGATGAAAAAGTGATAAAAAGTATAGTCGGTGCAATGTTAGAAAATATTTTGTATGGAAATGAAAAGCTTGTTTCCAAAATATTTGAATTCTACCCAAAATTGTTTGTTTATAATAAAAAAAGAATGAAGGAATATCTCTTCTCTTCGCTTAAGATAAAAACCCATGAAACTTTTCAGTTTGTTTTCGACAAATCAATTTGGAGCTAAAATCAGTTAAGGCAGGCTATTCAAATTAAGCTAGTTAGTTCATCACGCTGCAATTTCAGAAAATATTTAAATCCAGATTGAAACTTTCAATAAAATACTTGATCTTTCTAGAAACTATATTCATCATTCCAACCACAATCAGAAACCTTTAGTCAGTAACCTTTAGTCAATTATTTTAATATCACATCTGTTCTTAAATCAACAAAGTTTAACTGCTGTCAAAAC